TTAAGTGAAAAGAAAGATCATTTCATACCTACTAAATTGGGAAAAATGAAGAGTCACTTATTCCTATCAAATGTCGTTAAGGATGTAGAGAAATGGGGAATTGTTGGTAAGACTGAAATCTGTATATTAGTATAGGAAACTAATTTCCGGAGTTGAATTGTACATTCCCCAAACATAGGCATTGTATTATTGACTATGTGCCCTAAGAAATGCATGTCTCAAGAATGGAAATGTGTGAGAATATTTACTGTAGCATTATGCATAATAACCAAACCTTATAAAGTACCCAAAGGTCTACAAAAGGAAAATGTTCCAGTGAACAGCACAGCAGTGAAAATGAATTCATTAGAAGTATAACTAAATCTCAAAAATTGATATAAATAACAAAAATAATTTTGAGTGAAAGAAAATAGTTACATAGCATGATTACACTTTTAAATAAAGCTTAAACACAAGAAATAGTTTGCTTGTTTAAGGATAAATCATAGATGTACAAACTATGAAGAAAAGTAAGGGAATGAAAAAAATTTAGAAATATCAAAGTAATTTGTTGATTGCCTTAGGTATATAATTTTAATCATTGCAACAATTCCTAAGTAGACTATCAGAAACATAAATCGATTTACTACTTATACAGCTTATGTGCAGAAGAACTCATTTTGATCTCAAGTGTGTTTTTCTCACAAGTGCCTTTCACGTTACCCATATCCCCTAAGTCTTATTTAATATCGGATAATGAGTGTAATAGACCATGATTAGATCTGCCTTTTGATTCAGCTGTGTAAAATATTCTCTGTTCAACCTTGGGTAAAAGTTCAATAGATTCTTATGTCCTCACCTTTTTTATTTTCCCCACAAATTATGTAGAGCTAGCAATGTCTATTTGGGTTATTATAAAGTTTAAATGAAGTACATATGCACAGCACATGTAATCATGTATATATTCAATAATTTTTATTATTATTATTTCATGGTAGATTCAATTGATAACTCTATGAACAGCTCCAAGAAATTTCAGCTTGCTGAAGACAGAAATATTAAGAGATGGATGAATGATTATGAGGGTTGGTAAGCCCGTAGAGGAAAGATATGAGGGAAATGAAGATATCAGGAAGGAACTCACTGGAGTGACCATTCATAAGGCTATGCCATGGAAGGCTGATGTGGAAAGTTGATGCAACCAAAATACATTCATTTTCAGTGGACAAGGGACTAGCCTTGGAATGAGGAGTGTAAATTAAGTCTGTGCCAGGGGTAGGAGAGGGCTAGCAGAAACCGGGTGGGGGGAGAAGAAGAAAGAGATGACAGAAGACCATTCATGTATTCAATACATCTGACCCAGAGCTCAGATCCAATACAATCCTAAACAATGTCATGGTAGTTCAAACACCTTCACCATTGTTACTCTGAGGGGATGGGTTCTGAGGTGGAAGGAAAAGTGAAACAGGATGTGAGAACTGACCAGGACACAGGTTTGCGGCTAATTTGACCAGGGGTGCAGCATGTCTGAGCTACTTGCATGCCTTTTCCCAATAAATAGCTTCTCTACTTCTGTGACATCCTCACTGTGAAAACCAGAGCGCCCTGGCTAAATAATAGAATGTAGACTTCCTATCATACGTTACTCAACATCACTGCATTTTCATTTACCATAACCTTCAGAATCTCTAGCCTAATTTTTCAAGTAGACTTATTCTTTCCTGTTACTTTTTATTTTTCAATGTTTGATTGTAAATTAGGTAGGGCTCTACATTTCAGATAATCACTTTGGAATTCACTTAAAACTTCTTTTTATCAAACCTCCCAATAACTTCTTCTCCACTCCACGTATTTTCTCTTTCCCCTTGTGCAGATTTCCATCTACGCATTCACCCAAGTTAATACCTTCTTAGCCTCTAGCACAGCGGTTCTCAACCTGTGGGTCATGACCCCTTAGGGAGTCAAACGACCTTTTCACAGGGTTTTCCTGATTCATAACAGTAGAAAAATTACAGTTATGAAGTATCAACGAAAATAATTTTATGGTTGGGGGTCACCACAACATGAAGGACTGTATGAAAGGGTCATGGCCTATAACATCACCTTCCCATTCCTGGAAGCTATTATTTTGATATGAAAACTTTTGTAGCAGTTTTTCCTTCATAATAATAGTTAAATATAGTAGTTTTCCCTTTGTAATTGAGTAAGTTATTTCAGCATAATGTTCTCCAGTTCCATCTATGCCATCTATGCTTCTTGTGACTTTTTCTAAGAAATGAAATGTTTCATCTAATTATTGCCCAAGTCCACAATTCTGCTACATATGTATAGACCTACCTAGTTTTACTTAATGGTCAGTAGGTTTAATCAAGTATTGTAACAAACTCTTGGGATATAACAATACCCTATACCCTTTGTCTATGTCTAGGAAGTATTTCTTAGATACCTCATATTATCCATGAGGTTGGAAAACACTTGTAGGTAGATGTATCTAAGACCTAATGAAGGAGCATTGGCCGTACAAACAGAAAAGGAAGCTAAACAAACCAGTGTATTTCCAGGAGAAAGGTGAGGTAGCCTGCTTCTGTACAGATTTACAGACTCAAAAACTCTAGTAAGGGTCTCTGTGATTGGAATCAACTCAATGGCAGTGGACTTGGTTTTTGTTGTCCTACTGAGTGAATCTAGCTCTCCATACGTGTTGATGATGCTGTGTCTCACTGGTGAATTGCATGAAAACATGACGAAGCAGTGTAAGACAGTTTGTTAGTATAGAGTACTCTAGACTTCTTGAATGTCAATTGCCCTTTGGCAGCTACTATTGGGAAGACTACTCATTATTATAATGGCCAAAGACCTGAGGAGCTGTGGGAGAAGATAAAGAACATCATTCATGAAGAAAGTAAAAGGTCATTAAAAAGACAGGAAAGAAAAAAAAGTCAAAGTGATGTCAGAAGTGTCAGAAAGGACTTTTCCGAAATTTGTTCTTCCTCATAGAGTAGCTAAGGAAAATTTGAAGTCAAAGAACTGATTAGAAAATTTCAAAACCCAACTCAAGAAGACAAAGCCAAATAGTATACTGATGTTCAAAGACATAAAATTAGAAAACCCAAAGGGAAGAACACCCTCAGCATATCTAAAATGAAAGATCACACACACACACACACACACACACACACAATTCAATCCTTGGTTGTAATCTTGAAAGATTCTATGGGCACATATTGAGTGATGCAGGAAGCATCAACAGACTATAAAACGAATATACAGTCACTATACCAACAAGAACTAAGGGGCATTCTGTCGTTACAGGAGGAACATATCCTGTTGAAGGAAGATGTTCAAGCTGCTCTGAAAACATTAGCCAAAACAAGGCTCCAAATTGGTGGAATAGCCACTGAAATGTTTCAACAAGCTGATGCAACACTGGAATCTCTCATATCAGCAGAAAATTGCAAAGACAGCTACTTGGCCAACTGACTGAAAAGGATCCATATTTGTACTCATTCTACAGAAAGGTGATCCAATGGAATGTTTAAGCGATAGAACAATACCATCTATATAATATGCCAGTAAAACTGTGCTGAAGATCATCCAGCAATAGTTGGAGTAGTACCACTGACAAGGAGCTTCCTGAAGTTCCGCTCTGACTGAGAAGAGCATGTGGAACAAAGGATATCATTGCTGATATCAGCTGAATCTCAACTGAATGCAGAGAAAACCAGAAAGCGCTTTACTTGTGTTTTATTGACTTTATCAAGGCATTCAACTCTGTGGATCATAATAAACTATGGATAACTTTGAGAAGAATGGGAGTTCCAGAATATTTTACTTTACTCATGAGGAATGTGTACAGGCATCAAGAGGCAGTTGTGTGCACACGGGACCATGGCATGTTTTAAGATCGGGAAAGGTATGCATTAAGGTTAAATCTGTTCACTATAGTTTTTCTATCTGTAGGCTAAGAAAATCATGGGAGAAATGTTCTTATGTGAAGAAGAATGTGGCGTGGCAGCAGAATTAGAAGAAGGCTCATTAACAGCCTGTGACATGCAGGTGACACAGCCTTGCTTGCTGAAAGTGAGGAGGACTTGAAGCACTTGCTGATGAAGATCGAGGATAACAGCCTTCAGCAAAGCATTACAGCTCAATGTAAAGAAGACCAACATCTTCACAACCAGACTAATCGGTAACATAATATTGACTGGAGAAAAGGAGAAATTTTGGAAGAAATTTGAAATTTCTCCAAATGGAGAAAAGGGTGAAATTGTCAAGGATTTTGTCTTACTTGGCTCCACAATCAATTCTCCTGGAGGCAGCACTCAAGAGCAATCGGTAAATCTTCTACACAAACCTCTTTAGCGTATGGAAAAGCCAGAAGGGGGGACTAAGGTGCATGACACAAGCCATAATATTTTCAATCGCCTCATATGCGTGTAAAAGTTGGATATTGAATAAAGAAGACTGAAGCAGAATCGACGCATTTGAATTGTGGTGCTAGAGAAGAATATTGAAAATACTAGGGAAGACTAAAAAGATAAACCGATACATCTTAGAAGAAATACAGCCAGAGTGCTTTTTAGAGGCAAGGATGGCGAGACTTGTCTCACATACTCCGGATATGCTGTCAGGAGGGGCCAGTCCTTGGAGAACATCATGTGAGGTAAAGCGGAGGAGCAGCAACGGACAGGAAGGCCCTCAAGGAGTTGGATTGACACCGTGGCTGCACCAATGGGTTCACACACAGGAACCATTGTGAGGATGGCGCAGGACTGGTTAGTATTTTGTTCTATTGTGCATAAGATCCCTATAGGTGCTAACAGACTCCATGGCACCCAATAACAACATTATTTGTTTTCTCTCTGAAATGTAAAGTTCTTTGGCCATGTCCAGTGTTGGCTTGAAATACCCCATGATTCGTACCTTACTTTATACAAAAGCAACACTGATGAGAGATCTTTAGGTAGCAGCGAGATATTGAAGGAGATAAGTGGCGCTTTAGCTTACACTCGACCTCATACCTGAACGCAAAGCCTCTTTCTGAATGCTTCCATAGTCATGCCAGTCCTTTCTTCGCACACCAGGTGTCCATGCATAGAATTGCCCATCTCCTAGGCCCAGTGGAAATGTCTGTGGAAAAGGAAAGTATTCAGAGCATAAAAAGGAGGTCTTTCCTTTTGTACGGCAGGCACATAATAGGCAAGCAAAAGAATAATTGCTGAATAAGTGATTCTTCTGAGTACACTTAAAATAAAGCTATTATAGTGACCAACCTAATTTACATTTGAAAAAAATTAGATACTATCCCACCCTCCTACCATTTTCTGCTATGGCACATCTAGAGATACCGTGATGCTTTGGTTCACAGACTCAATTCATTTCAAATCTGTGTTCGAACACCAGCACGTTTGCGGACAGAACCTGTTTCCCCACAAGAAAACAACATTATGGGTTCTGACGCATGGCTCCAGAAGTGTAGTCACCGCGTGTAGTATTAAATTAAATTTGGAGGGTGTGGGGTGCCAGCCCCACCCGCAACTACTACCCACGGGTGCGGTAAGCACAATTGTACGGTTGAGATATATAAGTATTATATTAAAGTCACCGAGAGCATGAGAGATATTACAATAATGCAGTCAGACACATTACATAGTAGCATTGCTCACCTCAGCCCAGCTTGGTGGTCCACGTGGAGAGAGGGGGAAGGGCAGGAGGGCAAGGGAACAAGGGAGAGAGGACAGGAGAGGAGAGGGGGTAGAGAGGGGAGTGACCAGGGAGAGAGAGGTCAGAGAGCTCTATATTGCTGACCCAAGACTATAAACCTTTTGGAGGCATATGTCACAGGGAGGGGCTGCACTATAGGTTACACAGCAATGAGAGGGGGTGGCCTAGGGACATATACGCAATAGAAAGAGGAGGGATTGGGGTATACACATGACAAGATGGGCGGATCCTAGATTTAGGATGGCAGCTTAACTTTGACCTGTTCCTGGGTCTCCATAGGAACCATTATCAGTAGGGTGTAAACTCCGCCTACAGGAGCCTGTCCATAGTCCCCAGTGGCAGGGAGCAGGGCCCACTGCAGTCTGGCAACTGATTGCCCTCAGGGGAGATGTCTGCTAGCATCTACCTCCCCCAACAACTGTGGAGGCTGTTGGCTTTCTCACACATTACTGTCTCTGAACCAAGACTGCCATTGAGTTCTTTCGGATTTATTCAATTGACAGTGCCTTGTCAGTTTCTTCAATGGTTTGTTCCATGGTTCATGACTTAATACCTTTTGCTACATAGCTGCTTGAATCACACGTTTTGATTTGTTTTTTTTCTTCAAAGGTGTTGATAATGTCGACTTAGCCCTGTTTGTATTCAGTCACCAAATCAGACAAGCGATGGCCTGATTCAAATGTTGCAATAATTTCTTTAACTCTATCATGGCTCTCACAGTTTTCCTCTTATTCTGCTACTGGGATCACTAACTTTCTTTGGAGCCATGGTTACAATATTTTACGCAAATAAAATGCACCCCCTCGCCCCACCCCCCACATGATGAGGACTGTTTTAATGCATGAACACAAGCACTCTATGTTGTCTGAATGAGAATGGCACTTTGGCTGAAGTGCCACAAACCCTTTGTGTGGCTAGACATGATGTGTGACTCACTCTCGGTCACACAGGTTTTTTCAAGTTGGAATTTCAGTTCAGCTCACAAACACAGTTGAAAACACATAGCAGATCTATTTTTCTTGCTGTTTGAGTAGTGGAAAGTTCGAACATGACATTTTTCAACAAGTGAGGTATTACTATAGTGTCAATTTAGAGGATCCCTTTCACAAAGCATACATATCAAGTTTTCTTTTTCCCAAAGTGTAAGCATTTGTTGTTCTACAAATTTTGGTGCTAACTTAAATTGATTTTATCTGTAATATTTATGGTTAGATTCATTTTAAGCAAGCATATTTGAAAACCTGACAAGAGTATTAGCAACCATTCTTCTAATGTTCACCAGGTGCCAGGCAGCATGTGCATAGAAGATTGTTTAAACTTTACAATAGTCTTCAGATCTGAATTCCCATTTGACTGTCCATGAAACAGAAGCCCATTGCACTAACATAACTTGAGTTAATCCCTAATGGTATAACAGTAGTTGTACCAGTTCTGTTAATACCTTATTTGTGAATATAACATTACTAAACATTCTCTTTCATCTATATTTCTGTTATACAGTAGTTACAGTTACAGTTGAGATTATAATCCACTCAACAATAATAGTCAAAACATATGTCTTATGCATGTCCCAAGCCCAGCATGTTGTAATGCCAACTTGAAAATTATTTCTATGAACAGTGCTGAAATTGTTTCTATTTTTTTGACATTTATTTCTAGTGAGGAGAAACAAAAATTGTTTTATCTTCACAATCTTAAAAACAGCTAAGATATAAAGTAAAAGATTTCCCATTCACCCTCTATTTTCCTTTTGGCTGACATTATTAATTCTGGGAAAATAAAGGACACATCAAATTCTTTAGAATGAAGAAAAGAAAATTTTAAAGTAGAGAAAGTCAGCTTAGGCAGAAACAAAAGATAAATTTCTTTTAAGGACAAATGCCTTTCTGAGGCAAGTGAAATGTTTTAATTTTAGTTTGACAAAACAGCATTGCTACCATGCTCATAAAAAATTAGCATTCTCTCCATAGTTACAACTCATAAAACAGTTACAGTTTTAATAGACAAATATCAGAAATAAAACTTTATAAAAAAAGTTTAAATTAGAGAAAAGGTGTTTCAAATCAAATGACTATTGTTTATAGAATTAAAGGAATTTTCAGCTAATGATAATAATGATTTTAGGAAGCATATACAAAGCAATAAACATACAAAGATTATGGAGTGCATGTATTAGATATTACGTACAATAGTTTATAAATTTTAAAAGCTAAGCATCAAGGAAATATTAAGGAGAAAGAATCATGAAACAATGTGATGAAAAATTGGGGAATGGTATAGCAATGAATGCATTTTCCCTATATTTTATGCATAGCATAGTAAACAATATAGGAAAATATAGGGAACAATATAGGGAAACTGCATTCATTTTTTTTTCTGGTATAATTTTCACAATTATACGTTCTCAAAAGTTGACTATATACTGAAAATTATAAAGATTAAATAACCATAAAACACAAGCTATGATCTTTTTTCAGCATATATTTACAATGATGAGTACTGAACGCTAAAAAATTTCCTTTACTAATTTAGATATCAATGCTATACTAATTTAGATAATATCAATCTATAAACATCATTTTAAAATTAGATACTTTATAAAGAAATGTTTACATTAAACAGATATTCTTGCATAAATTTCGAATATGCAAAGCAGTCTGTATACCTCATTTCTCTACTTTAAAATATGTAAGACAGAGAATACTTAACAACTGGTACTATGTGGGAGACTGAACCTGAATTGATCTTCACTCCCTCCAGAAACCTGTGACAGTGACCGTGAAGCCTCAGATGGCTCAAGGAGGCGGATGGTTTCATGGGAACAGCTGTAAAGACTTGAAAAGGAATGAGAACTAAGTACTGAGAGGAGAGCAAACACTGTCCACAGAACTTTAAACCTTCCGAACCACTGGAGGCACGCAGCGTTTCGAAGGGTTAAGTTAAAAGCTAAAAATAAATGAGTGACTTTTTTTTTTAATGAGACTGTTAGGCCTACGAAGTTTCTCTACTCTGTTCCAGTAACCAAATGATTTCTGAAAACTACCATCTAGACACACAGAAAATTAGAGTTTGAATGGGGGAGCCCTACTTGGGGATTATTATGAATAGTCAAAAAGAATTTGTCAACTTATATTGAAAATAGGGTTCTTTTTTTATACTCCATATGGAAGGCTCAAGCAATATTCTACAGCAACCTCTTAAGTAGTGCCAACTTGCCTGACACTCTTACGAAAAGATATGGGGACTTTCTTTCTCAAGAATTTACCTTAAAAGAATGATAAGGGTACTGCCATGTGGGGACCAGATACACAGCCAGTAATGTGACAAGGATTCCCTTTGTCTGCAAGCTCTCCTCTAAACAAAGATAGGCAGGTCAGTATTTCACTATATCGCTCCTAATTAAGAATAGGCAACTATGGTTCACCAAACAGTAGAGGGAGAGGCCAACATGAAAGCCAGTGTCCAAAACTAGACAAAAGACACAATAAACTTGAAGGAAGCTGAGATAATGTAAGGGGCAAAAGAAAACTGCCCCCCAAATCAAAATTTAACTTTTTCAAAGAGCTATAAGAAAATGTTCCTCCAAAAAACAAAAAGAAAGCATAATAAGGAATCCTCAAATTTGCTTTTCAGAGGAGCTAGCAGGCATAGAAAGTTCAAAGACGATTTGAAAAACGAAATGTCTTAAGGATAGGAAGGAAAAGGAAAACACATTGAAGGCAGACATCCAAATGACAGCTCTACGCAAGCCTAGCAGACAACCCGGTCCTCACAACATAACGTAAATTGCTCCAGAAGTCATATCCTCATGAAGCGGAAAAGAAACAAACTTACCTTCTACCTATTTTATTTTTAACAGATTGAAAGGGAAACTACAATATTGCCAATGAGATGAAGAAAATTTAATAATACATCAGTAGAAAACAAAGCAATAAAAGTAAGACAAGCAATAAGGCAAAACATAATTAACGAAATTGATTAATTAATACAATGTACAAAAAGAAAATGTAAGCATAGCAGACTACTTGATTTACATATCAAAAATATTAATTGGACATTGGTTTACTAGATATACTGATGCTATACTAAAGATTGAGGACAAAGGTGAGGTATGAGTGTTAAATAGACATATAAGTAGAAAAAATATAATAACAAACTAAAATCAGGGTTCAGTAATATACACATGCTCTTTATAAATAGCGAAGCATATAATAGAATCAACAAAAAAGGTCATGAGTTCCCGTGGGTATCAGAAATTTCAAGTGGGAAAAGGGGTTAAGGATTGCCGATTTCCATATAGCATGATTACAGTTTTAAAATTAATCAAAATTATTACTTTATGTAAACATACAGAACTCAAATACAACTCATACTTTCTTGGCAATAATAGTCAAAATGTGTTAGCA